TTTGCTGAGAATGATGGTTTCCAGATTCATCTATGTTCCTACAAAGGACACTAAGTCATCACTTTTTATGGCTACATAGTATTCCATAATGTATATGTGCCACATTTTCCTTGTCAAGTCTATCATCAATAGGCATTTGTGTTGGTTCCAGGTCCTTGCTATTGTTTACAGTGCTGCAATGAACATATGTGTGCATGTGTCTTTATAATAGAATGATTTATAATCCTTTGGGTATATACCCAGTAATGGGATGGCTGGGTCAAATGGAATTGCTATTTCTAGGTCCTTGAGGAAGTGCCACACTGTCTTCCACAATTGAACTAATTTACACTCCCACCAACAGTGTAAAAGTGTTCCTATTTCTCCACATCCCCTCCAGCATCTGTCTCCAGATTTTTTAATGATTGCCATTCTAACTGGCATGAGATGGCATCTCAATGTGGTTTTGATTTGCATTTCTCTAACAACCAGTGATGATAAGCTCTTTGTTAGATGAGTAGATTGCAAATTTTTTGTCCAATTCTATTGGTTGCCAGTTCACTCTAATGATTGTTTCTTTTGCTGTTCAGATGTTCTGGAGTTTAATTAGGTCCCATTTGTCTATTTTGGCTTTTGTTGCCAATGCTTTTGGTGTTTTGTTATGAAGACCTTGCCTATGCCTATGTCCTGAATAGTTTTGCCCAGGTTTTCTTATAGGGTTTTTATGGAGTTAGGTCTTATGTTTAAATCTTTAATCCATCTGAAGTTAATTTTAGTGTTAGGTGTCAAGAAGGGGTCCAGTTTCTGCTTTCTGCACATGGCTAGCCAGTTTTCCCAACACCATTTATTAAACATGGAATCCCTTCCCCATTGCTTGTTTTTGTCTGGTTTCTCAAAGATCAGATGGTTGAAGATGTGTGGCATTGCCTCCAAGGCCTCTGCTCTGTTCCATTCGTCTATATCTCTGTTTTGGTACCAGTACCATGCTGTTTTGATTACTGTAGACTTGTAGTTTGGAGTCAGGTAGCATGATATCTCTGGCTTTTTTCTTTTTGCTTAGGATTGTCTTGGCTATGTGGGCTCTCTTTTGGTTCCACATGAAGTTTAAAGTAGTTTTTTCCAATTCTGTGAAGGTCATTGGTAGCTTCATGGGGGAGAGCTTTGAATATATATAAATTACTTTGGGCAGTATGGCCATTTTCCCAATATTGATTCTTCCTGTCCATGAGCATGGAATGTTTCTTCATCTATTTGTATCCTCTCTAATTTCCTTGAGCAGTGGTTTGTAGTTCTCCTTGAAGAGGTCCTTTACATCCTTTGTTAGTTGTATTCCTAGGTATTTTATTCTCTTGGTAGCAATTGTAAATGGGAGTTTGCTCATGATTTGGCTCTCTGTTAGTCTGTTATTGGCGTAGAGGAATGCTTGTGATTTTTGCACATTGATTTTGTATCCTGAGACTTTGCTGAAGTTGCTCATCAGTTTCAGGAGACTTTGGGCTGAGATGATAGAGTCTTCTAAATATGTAATCATGTCATCTGTAAATAGAGACTATTTGACTTCCTTTCCTATTTGAATACCCTTTATTTCTTTTTCTTGCCTGATTGCTCTGGCTAGAACTTCCAATACTATATTGAATAGGAGTGGTGAGAGAGGGCATCCTTGTCTGGTGTCAGATTTCAAAGGGTATCTTTCCAGTTATGTGCATAGAGTTGTTTGTAGTGATCTCTGATGGTAGTTGGTATTTTTGTGAAATTGGTGGTGATATCCTCTTTATTGTTTTTTTATTGCATCTATTTGATTCTTCTTCCTTTTCTTTTTTATTAATCTGGCTAGTAGTCTGTCTATTTTATTGATCTTTTCTAAAAACCAGCTCCTGGATTTATTGATATTTTTGAAGGTTTTTTTTGGTGTCTCTGTCTCTTTCAGTTCTGCTCTGATCTTAGTTATTTCTTGTCTTCTGCTAGCTTTTGAAGTTTTTTGATCTTGTTCTTCTAGCTCTTTCAAATTTGATGATAGGGTGTTGATTTTAGAACTTTTCTCCCTTCTCTGGTGGGTATTTATTGCAATAAATTTCCCTCTAGACACTGCTTTAAATGTGTCCCAGAGATTCTGGTATGTTGTGTCTTCGTTCTTGTTGGTTTCAAAGAACATCTTTATTTCTGCCTTCATTTCATTGTTTATTCAGTTGACATTCAGGAGCCAGTTGTTCAATTTCCATGAAGTTGTACATGTACAGTTCTGAGTTAGTTTCTTAATCCTAAGTTCTAATTTGATTGTGCAGTGGTCTGAGAGACTGTAATTTCCATTCTTTTGCATTTGCTGAGGAGTGATTTACTTCCAATTATGTGGTCAGTTTTAGAGTAGGTGCAATGTGGTGCTGAGAAGAATGTATATTCTGTGGCTTTGTGGTGGAGATTTCTGTAGATGTCTATTCAGTCCACTTGGTCCAGATCTGAGTTCAAGTCCTGGATACCTTTGTGAGTATTCTGTCTCGTTGATCTAATATTGACAGTGGAATGTTAAAGTCTCCCATTATTATTGTATGGGAATCTAAGTCTCTTTGTAGGTCATTAAGAACTTGCTTTATGTATCTGGGTGCTCCTGTATTGGGGGCATATATATTTAGGATTGTTAGTGCTTCTTGTTGCATTGATTCTTTTACCGTTATGTTTCTTTTGATCTTCATTGTTTAAAGTCTATTTTATCAGAGACTAGGATTGCAACTACTGCTTTTTTTTCGCTCTCCATTTGCTTGGTAAATCTTCCTTCATCCCTTTATTTTGAGCCTATGTGTGTCCTTGCATGTGAGATGGGTTTCCTGAATACAACACACCAATGGGTTTTGACTTTTTATCCAATTTGCCAGTCTGTGTCTTTTGATTGGGGCATTTAACCCATTTACATTTAAGGTTAATATTATGTGTGAATGTGATCCTGCCATTTTGATGCTGGCTGGATGTTTTGTCCGTGAGTTGACACATTTTCTTTATTGTGTCAATGGTCTTTACCATTTGGTACATTTTTTGAGTGGCTGGTACTGGTTGTTTCTTTCCTTGTTTAGTGCTTCTTTCAGGAGCTCTTGTAAGGCAGGCCTGGTGGTGATCAAATCTCTCAGCACTTGCTTGTCTGTAAAGGATTTTATTTCTCCTTTGCTTATGAAGCTTAGTTGGCTGGATATGAAATTCTAGGTTGAAAGTTCTTAAGGATGTTGAATATTGGCCCCTGCTCCCTTCTGGCTTGCAGGGTTTCTGCTGAGAGATCTGCTGTGAATGTGATGGGTTTCCCTTTATGGGTAACCTGATCTATCTCTCTGTCTGCCCTTAGCATTTTTTCCTTCATTTGAACCCTGGAGAATATGATGATTATATGCCTTGGGGTTGCTGTTCTTGAGGAATATCTTTGTGGTGTTCTTTGTATTTCCTGGACTTGAATATTGGCTTGCCTTACTAGGTTGGGGAAGTTCTCCTGGATAATATCCTGAAGAGTGTTTTTCAGCATTATCTCAGTCACATTCAGGTACATCTATTAAATATAGTTTAGGTCTTTTCATATAATCCAATATTTCTTGGAGGCCTTGTTCATTTCTTTTCACTCCTTTTTCTCTAATCTTGCCTTTTCATTTTATTTCATTGAGTTGATCTTCAGTCTCTGATATCCTTTCTTCTGCTTGGTCTGTTCAGCTACTGAAACCTGTGTATGCATCATGATGTTCTCATACTGTGTTTTTTAGCTCCATCAAGTCTTCTCTAAGCTGTTTATTCTAGTTAGCATTTCCTTTTTGCAAGGTTCTTAGTTCCTTTGCATTCAGTTATCACATGGTCTTTTAGCTGAGAGAAGTTTGTTATTACCCACCTTCCAAAGCCTGTTTCTGTCAGTTCATCAGATTCATTCTCCATCCTGCTTTGTTCTCTAGCTGGTGAGGAGTTGTGATCCCTTGGAGGAGGAGAGGTGTTCTGGTTTTTGGCGTTTTCATCCTTTTTGTGCTGGTTTCTTCCCATCTTTATGGCTTTATCTACCTGTGGTCTTTGTAGTTTGTGACTTTTGGATGGGGTCTCTGAGTGGATGTCCTTTTTGTTGATTTTGAGGCTATTTCTTAGTTTTCCTTCTAACCAGTCAGGCCCCTCTGCTGCAGAACTGCTGGAGTTCCACTTCTGACACTGCTTGCTTGGGGATCACTTGCGGGGGCTGCAAAACAGTAAGGGTTGCTGCTGGTTTCTTTTTCTGTTATCTTCATCCCAGAAGGGTACCTGTCAGATATTGTCCTGAGCTCTCCTTTATGAGTTGTCTCTTCAGGTATATGAGGGTCAGGGTGCTGCTTGAGGAGACAGCCTGTCCCTTATAGGAGCTCAAGTGCTGTGCTGGGGGTCCATTCTGTGCAGAGCTGCTGGGCATGTACATTTAAGTCTGCTGCAGCAGATCTCATAACTGCCTTTTTTCCCAAGTGCTCTGTCCTGGGAAGGCGGGGCTTTCTGTATAAGTTCCTGACATGCTGCTGCCTTTTTTCATAGATGCCCTGCCCAGCACAGAGTTAGTCTAGTCACAGTCTGCCAGCAGAGGCATTGCTGAACTGCCGCGGGCTCTGCCCAGCTTCTGTGTGAACTTCCTTGAGGTGTTGTTTATAGAGGTACAGTTAGAACTGCCTTGGTATTGGCGGACTGCCTTGGTAGTGGCGGATGCCCTTCCCCCCACTGAGTTGGACTGTCCCAAGCCCAGCTGCACTTGCTGGGAAACTCTCAATCTAGAGTGTTTCAGATTGCTTGTTTTGTGGAGGTACTACCTGCTGAGCCAGATTACCTGGTTCCCTGACTCAGCCCCCTCCATTTCAGTTGAATGGGCAGCTCTGTCTCCCATGCGTTCCAGGTGCCAGTTGAAATGGCCACCCAGATTTGTGTGAGTTTCTGTCTGCCAACCCACAGCACTGGCTGAAACAGCCATGCTGGAATTTGTGGTGCTTTTTGTCCCAGGAATCTCCTACTCTGTGGGCAGTGAAAACTCGTTTGGAAGTGCAGTGATCACTTACCCTCTGTGTTGTTCTTGCTGGGAACTGCACTCCAGAGCTGTTCCTATTTGGCTATCTTGGATCTTCCTCCCAATTTGCAGGTTTTAAGTGATGTTCTTGGAAATCTGCAGTCTTCTTTGGAAATTATAAAAATGACAGGCTGAAATTAAAAGTTCAAAATAATTATGTGAGAAGGAAAATATAGGAAAACAGACAAATAGGGCAATACATATGGTTCTGAATAGTATTATTGTGTCTAGTTATCAAAAAGCTTTTGTTATATTGAATACACTTTACTCATGGGTCCACCTAAATTCCTCCTTAACGAGTTCAGGAAAGAAGCAAACTTTTATGCAGTACTTTTTATAGTGTACTATTTGGCTTTAGAGTTGTTACAGAAACAACTCTAAAACCCACAGTTTTATCTTTTGAGTTTTAACTAGATTCCCACTGACATTGCAGCTTGTCCAGGCTTTGGCTAGCTGAGAACTGGAGCTGGTTGTGGTGATATGTGAGTTGTGCTGAACTTGCTGTGGAAGATAGGAAAGCTATGAGGTGTGCTTTTTGTTCTCAAGAATCTTAAGATTTGATCATGAGATAATTTGTCTCATCTTTATGCACACATGCCCTTGAGCGATCCTTGAAACAGGAATTAGTTAGTGTTCACTAGGGAAGAAAGAACTATGTTTCCATATTCTGAAAATTTCACAAATCATGAACTTACAGAATGTCAGAGGAGGAAGAGACCTCATGAATCATTCTAATCTATCCCTTGAAGTGCCAATTAGGACAATAATTTATTTGAAACATTATGAAGGAAAATTTGACAATTTTTTGGAAAAGGAAATTAGCAGGTTATCTAGGATATTAATTTATTTTATGTGAGCCATTTTGAAGCAACCGAAATATGTAGGCCAATCTGAATGCCAAGTACAGACAGATTTTAATCAGAGAAACTTGAGTCCTTGCCCTTGTTTTGTTGAGCATACAGGAGAGGAAACTAGAGAATTAATCTTAGAGTAACATCAGTGTGAATTATATCTGTCCATTTTCCTGAAAATTGTCCATGAAATTTGACTTAAGGACTGGCATAACTGGTACATTAAAATTAGGAAATTATAAGAGAAGTTGCATTTTATGTTACACACTAATTTAGAATCATTGCGTTTTCCTGGAGTGAGAACTTTTTAGCAAATCTGGGGTTGTGATGTGCATACCAGTCTTATAATGTGATGCTACTGTGCTGATAAGGAAAAGACATCTCAGAGAGGTTAAATCACCGCCAAGCTTACAGAACGTCTAACTGGCAGAGCCACCACTTAAAAATACATCTGCCTGAGTTCCAAAGCCAGGGCTCAGCACACTGACTACAGTGAATGCATTCCTGGTATCTAATGGATGACCTCTGAAAATAGCCTTGCATGTGGCAGAAGACTCCCTACTTGCCCACCTTAGGGCTTCTGGTTGCCCTGAAGCCTCTCAGTCTTCTGCAGGCCAGATGGAAAAAGTGATTTCCTCACTATAGGTTTGGTGGTACTTTGAACTCTGATCTTCCTTCCTGAGCTACCTGTTATTTTTTTTTTAGCATCTTCAAACACTTGTTCTAATTATGATGAAGTGTGCTTACTCCATCTTACTCAGAAACAGATCTCCTTACATGAATTTAAATATATTTATAAACAATAGAAGGAGGAAGAAATTGGGAAGCAATCTGTTCCGACTTTCTGCCTTTAGGTAGTAGAGTCACAAGCCTTTCAGGCCAGAGGTGGCTTTCTTCTTAGAAATTCTCCAGGAAAGGGGTTTTCATATCCTTCTTTCCTGTTTCCTTCCAGTGGTGAACCACCCTGATGGTCAGAAAATTAGGTAAATGAGGATAAATTCTGTTTTATTTATTGGTAAAGTAAATTCTCATTTAGTGACGTGTATTTCTTTTAATACACTAAATTTTGACGTGTATTAAAATTTCTTTTAATACACGTCACTAAATTTTGAGTGCCTATGTAGCTGAGAAACCAACATTTTGACTAAGAGACAACATTCTGGTGGTCAGCCTCCCTCTGCTCCCTGCACTGCCTCATAGATGGCTCCAGCTCTTTCTCAATGTCAAGATGGTCAAGTTGATTGGGCTTTTCTTTGAAAATATTTGTACCGATGCTCCAGTGCCCTGTTCTCTTGAAGTTTTCTCATGCTGTTTTCAGTACCTAGCAGGACAAAGGTCCAGAATGTGCTTCTAAACTTTAGATTAATTGTTTCAAGGCCAGAGCCTTGATAAATGTGGCCCTTAATTTAAAGAAAGCTGGGAAATAAGAACATTTTAAAAGAAAGAACATATGGACGTATGGAGGCTTCTTCAATGTCCTTTCAGATACAGATTCATTCTAGGAACTTTGTTCATTAGATGTATCCTTACACTAATTTTTCTGAATGCATAACGCATTTTGTTTTTTCCTGTTTCATTACAAATGTGTCCTTTGGATACTATATTTCAACTATCGAGAAAAATCCATTGGTAGATTGAACTCATTTGATTTTCAGGTACACTTATACCTCTGTATAGTTTCAGGTTCTTTCCTTTTCCTATTTCAATAAGGCTTAGCTATTCCAGGGTTAATCATGTCAGTCAAAGCTGACGTGTCAACTTGAAGAGAGTGATGGGGAAACAAATAGAAATGTGATTTGGTGTGACCACATGTGGAAATAACTTTAGCTTCAAGTGATGCCCTGGTTACAATCTAATCTAATCTCCCAGATTTGCTGTCTTCTTTGTCCTTAGTCATCTTCACATCTTTCATCTTTTTCTTTGAGGGGAGTATTATCTACTATCTATGTATATGTGGGAAGATGCTTCTGCTTATACAGTATCTGATTATTTTAATGATCAAGGCAAAAGCATGCATGATAGTCTTTTGTTGTGTAGTGTAAAGTAAGCATAAAAAATAGTGCATATCACAGACAGGCAGTCCTGCTGAACTGCTGCTTGTGAGCCTTTTCCAGAGCACTGTGTAAAAGCTGGAAATTGCCTCTCAAGTTATTTGTTTTGCTTGGACACTGTATGGAGTGGTTAATATTTAAAACCTACTTTTTCTCAATTATGTTTAATCTGAAGAGAGTGGACCTATGGAAAAATAAGGTTAAAATGAAATTTTGTTTTAGATCTCTAAAGATAAGGAAGTATTTCTTTTTTAAAGGGTGGTCAGAAAAGTCAGCTATTGATGAGTGAAAATTTATTTATTAAGATTTTATGCCAATTTTCGTATTTGCATTTGAAAAGTCTTCTTTCTGCACAGTGAGAAAAGGGGGGAAAAGCTGCTTGAACTGCTAAGTAATATTTAGTTACTTGGTTCATTTACTACCAATCCGAAAGCTAAATTGGGGGTGGAAGAGGAAACCCTTATAACTCATTGCTAGTGGCAGCCTTTTTGAAACACTGTATAATTACAGCACTCAGGCCAAAAATATTCCTTAAATTTGTCCTGAAGTATGTTGCCTCATGTTAAGTAGTTACAGACACAGTGATAACTATGTTTTTATGAGCAAGCCTCATACTTTGCTTAGGAATGAGTAGTTCCTTAGGAATGTGTAGACGCTTAGTTTGGCACTTGGATGGAAGAGCAGAGAAGTATACACAATGTGAAAGCTCATGACAAGGTAGTATCTGAGAGTCCACATGTCTTGGAAATGATAAAATGTTCAATTCTTCTTAACTGCATGCCAGAGTGAGTGTAAAGTGTTGGAGGCTGTGTTTTACCTATGTTCATACATTGAAGCCCTTCGCCTTGGTGCGATGGTATTTGGAGGTAATTAGAGCCAGATGAGTTCATGAGGGTGAGGCCTTATAATGGGATTAGTGTCCTTATAAGACTGAGAGATCAAAGCTTTCTTCCTGCTATGTGAGGATGCAGCAAGAAGGTGGCCATCTACAAGCCAGGAAGAGAACCCTCAACAGGAATGGAATCTTTTTGCACCTTGATATTTAATTTTTTTTTTTTTTTTTTTTTTTGAGACGGAGTTTTGCTCTTGTTACCCAGGCTGGAGTGCAATGGCGCCATCTCGGCTCACCGCAACCTCCGCCTCCTGGGTTCAGGCAATTCTCCTGCCTCAGCCTCCTGAGTAGCTGGGATTACAGGCACGCGCCACCATGCCCAGCTGATTTTTTGTATTTTTAGTAGAGACGGGGTTTCACCATGTTGACCAGGATGGTCTCAATCTCTTGACCTCGTGATCCACCCGCCTCGGCCTCCCAAAGTGCTGGGATTACAGGCGTGAGCCACCGCACCCGGCTGATCTTGAATTTTCTAACCTCCAGAACTGCAAGACATAAATTCCTGTTGCTTAAGTCACTCAGTCTATGCTATTTGTTATGGCAGCCTCATCTGACTACTGCAGTGAGTACAAAAGTGAAAATATAATAAAACTGTTTAAAATTATAACATGTTTGTTAGTTCCTGGCTTGATTGGAGTGTTATATATAAAGAAAGAAAATTGTAAGCTTTTAAAGCTGCTTAAATGAAACTTTAAAAATTGAGAGAAAAATAATTGATACATGTTGAATTGTACATGATTGTAGACAACTGTTAAGCTCTTAACTTTCAAATAATATATCAGTCTAAAAACCTCAAAGCAATGTAGCATAAATTAATTTTCAAGTTTAATTTTTTTTCTTTCAGAGTTTTATATAAGATTTTTTTTATGGCATTTGGTAATTTCCAATTACTTCAGTACAGACTGTTAAAAAAAACTGTTATTTCAACTGAAAGTGAAAGGGGAAAATGCCATTCTGGAAATGTTTTATTTATATGAACAACAGCAATGTATTTTACATATGTATCAAGAATGGATGGAAAGATGTATGGAATGAGACGCTGAGAAATACCCTTTAAATCAACTTTCTTCAGGAGCTTTGCATTCATAATTGAAAAATTCAAGATTTTCAAGAAAAAAATTAAAACATTTCTCAAGTCGATGTTGACCCCAAACTCAGTTTCATATGCTGAAAGACATTTCCCTTCATTTTTTGAAAGTGGGAAATCTTCTTAAGCTTCCAAACAGTGCATCAAATTTGAATTCAGCTCAGATAACAGTGCATAGAGAACTATGAGTTCTATGTGAGTATTTTTGTAGTAGGCTCAGGAGCAACCAATTTGAAGGATTTTTTTCTGA